CGCCCGCGCACGCACGCACGCACGCACGCACACATACACACACACACACACATGTAGTAGAGTAATAAAAGTATATTACAAAATTAAGAAACCCAGATAGCACTGGACATCCCAAGGATGTCCATTTTAAGTCCAAATCACGTCCGCACGTCCACGGACATAAAATGGACGTCCTTGAGATGTCCGTCGTACGGATGTCCTATACAAAACATTCTATGAATGTCCGAATTTGGATTTTACTTTTATTAAATGTTTTTCTTTATATTTTTATTATATTCGTATTATTTACCGAACCAAGAACCAACAAGTATTGAATAACATATTTTTTATATATCTTATATTATATAATATCATATTAATAATATTACCCAAATAAAATTAGTTAATTCTAAAAAATTGTAATTTATTATGGACGTACAAAGTTGTGACAAATGTACATCTCATGACCGTCCATAGGTTCAACGATATAATTTGGATTTCCTATTGACGTTCCAATGTCCAGAAACGGATGTCCAATGGACGTACAATGGACGTCCTTATGCTATCTGGGAAGGTATAGATATATTTTACGACTCAATATGAATATAATTCAATTAATATACAATAAGGGTTTTTTGAGCTTAGCAAGTTAATATGTTATAATTAAAATGCTTTATTAAACTACATATAAACAATGTTTTAAACGTTTGAATCTTTTTTCAACGGTCCTCTTCAGTGACTGTTTACAAGATTTACATATGATTAACGCGTGTATAAATTATTATATGTTCCATAAGTCTATATTTAACTAATTAATTCTATAATGGTCCTGATGTCCATTAACTCAAGTTAAATTGTCGTAGTTCGATCGTTAATGACAGAATATTTTTAATATCTTCAATAGAAGCAACATTCGAGAATTATCCCTGACTAATTTTGGACATCTTTTTTAGTTGAAGACCTTGCTGCAATATTAGTAATCACGTACTATATAATAATACGTGTTTATTGGAATATATGCTATACCATCCTCCGACTGTCTTATTTATATATTCTCCTCTTTCACCAAATATGTGAGTTAGTCCAATATTGCAGTAAGTGTGTCTTTAATTTTAAATTTAATTAAAAATATTTAAAAGTACTGGGTATTTCATAAAAAAATAAAAATTACAATTTTTTGGAATTAACTAATTTTATTTGGGTAATATTATTAATATGATATTATATAAGATATATAAAAAGTATGTTATTCAATTCTTGTTGGTTTTTGGTTCGGTAAATAATACGAATATAATAAAAATATAAAGAAAAACATTTAGTAAAAGTAAAATCCAAATTCGGACATCCATAGGATGTTTTGAATAGGACATCCGTACGACGGACATCCCAAGGACGTCCATTTTATGTCCATGGACGTGTGGACGTGATTTGGACTTAAAATGGACGTTCTATCTGGGATGTTCAGTGCTATCTGGATAGTACATAATGATTATCATTGTGATATGAACATTATTATACTAAATTCTTCGATTTATCAATTTTTCATTTTATCAAAAATTATCGTGTAACATTAGAATTGTTTATGAAATGTCACACAGTAATTTTTGATAGAAGAATCGATAAATCGAAGAATTTAGTACAGTAATGTTCATATGGGGTGATCCCGATTGACCACGGCTCGATTGGACACCACCAATCACAGCGACCGGTGCTTAGGAGCTTTGTAGTCTCAAGCGCTGTGAGTGACTCGTGTCCAATTGAGCCGTGTCCAAACTCCAACTGGGTGCCACCCGTATCTCATGCGTGCAGATAAAACCAAAATTGGACAAAAAATATTGTTTTGTTGCGTCGCTACCAGTCACCGCTTCGGCTGATAAGATTGATAAGGCTGTACGAAAGTAGATGTCAGCACGCGCGGCGAATATTCCTCGTAATCCGCGCCGCGGATCGTCCGGAGCGGTGAATCCAGGAACAAGAGGAGCTTCGTCAAGTCTCATATCAGGAATACGGATCAGTCCTCGTTGGTGTTGTTCCTCGTTCATTCATCGTGGGTGAAAATGGCGTCCTTGGCGGGTGTTCGGCTGTTGGCGAGGAACACCGGTTGCTTCAGAAACTCATTCAGTCGGTTGCGATGCACGAGTGGTGCACTCGTTCGGATGCGATGTGAGCAGAGGTTGTTACATCGTGCCGCGTGGACGACGCTTGTCGTACCGCAGGTAATATTAACGGACAGTGTGATACGCGTGATCGACTCTTCGCTGAGCAATTGTTCACGGCAGTGGGTTCCACGAAACTCTCATTATGTAACTGAAGCAACTTGAAATACTTGCAAAGATGCCCAGAGACAACTCGTCGGTCAACCAGTTCAATTCATCTTAGCTCAATATATTTGTTTTGGCAGCGCTTTCTTATGCGCTTGGTGTTTACAACTCTTTTACCCATCAGTTGCATCATATGATAGATTTTGCATTTAGTTTTGTTGGAGACATAAACAAACAACCCATACTTGATCTGGATTAACACTATACTTGATCTGGACATCATATTGGACCCATACTTTATTTGTACAAAAATAAGAAGAGCTGATAGAGAAAGTATAGAAAAAGGAAAAGCATGAACTGGATTAATGTCCATTTCTGCTAATGTAGATTAACTTCAATCTCGATTTAATTTAATCTTTATTTTTTTTCTAATTCTTAGAATTAGAAAAAAATATTGAGTAAGCAAACTTAAATTAAACTGAAATTAAAGTTAATGTATACCTGTAGAAATTAACATTTGGCTCCTATTTTCAATGATAGTAACAATATTGTTATGAAGCTGTATAACGACACCAAATTTAGTCTACTAACAATAAATTTAATCTTTTATTCCTAGATCTGTATGTAGCATTTTCAAATATTGTTTTATCCTAAAACATACGAATTTATTTTTGTTGATATATGCGTTTAAGATTTTCATAATTGAATTTAAATTACCATTATTTAATGAAGTACTATAAAATCACATTAGAATATATTTTTTGCAAAGTATATCCAAGTACAGTCAACATTTCTTCATGAAATCTTTTCATAAAAACTGGACATTAAAATATATATGAAAAGATTATTTGATGAATGCAGGTAAAATGCAATCGTGGATACTGTCAAGATGTTAGTAAAGAGAAACCGAAATCGATTAAGGATATCGAAGAGCGCGTATTGAAAGCTGTAGCCGTTTATAACGACGCCCTTGTAGAAAAGGTTACATAAAATACATCTTTCTTCTTTCTGGGAAAAATTTTGCAGGGCTTAAGGGACACACGCATCAAGCAGGTGCGCCATTACAGTCATAAGGATCCGCTAACCCTTGATATTATCAGTCAGCGGGTGCTCTTGGTTCTGAAACTTTATGACAAAATTGAACCCACAAAGGTATCTTCGAAATCAATATTCTTGAAATATTTGCCAAGACATTTCTGTAGACGATTCTGTTTTCTTAACAAAAAAATGTCAAAATGCATACAAAAATTCATCATTAGTTGCAATTGTGTTTGAAAAATATGTAAAAATAAAAATCGTATATATATCTTTTTAAACACATAGCTTTTCCATATTAATTAGAAGAGTTGATAATTTCTTACACATAATATAATTACACCAATTTTCTGTTGCTAGTTTCTTTACTGAAATGTTTTGAGAAATATCTCTTAAAACAAAGAATAGTTGGTTAACACCTCGCTTGATCGTGGCGTCTGCGTACATACTGACATGTAGAAACAAATCTCTTTTTTAACTCTTATTTACTTTATTTATATAATAATTTGCATTATTATATACTATTGTTAAAAATATATATATGGCAGAAGAATATTTACTATTTATATAATATCTAATTAAAAAATTTTAATATGTAAAATACTCTCCCTAATGTATTTTATTCGATTAATTATCAGAGGAACATGTCAGTTGTGCAGGAAGCCCAGGCGTGCGATTGAATCTTAATCTAACGATAGATTGAATCTTCAGCTGTCCTTGGATTCGCATTTTATGGACGATCTGGGTCTGGATTCCCTGGATCACGTGGAGATCATAATGGCGATGGAGGACGAGTTTGGCTTCGAGATTCCAGATATGGATGCTGAGAGGCTATTGAAACCTAAGGATATAGTGCGTTACGTAGCGGACAGGGAGGATATATATGAATAACACGCCTTGTATTACTTATATCTACGTGTTTAGTCAACATCCGTCGTTGTTTCGATTGGAAATAACGGATCACAGCGTTTTACCCTGCCGCCATTGTTTTTTTCTGTATATAGACCACTTATCATTATATGAATAAAAAATAAGCGAATTGTTACATCGAATTTCTTTTATGTGCGTACGCATCCTAAAAAATTGTAAGAAACGTACAGAGAACCGTTTATAAATTCCACAGTTTAGTACTGTATCAAAACATGCTCTTTTATTTTGTAATAATACTGTATATTTCATATTCGTAAAATTCGTTTTATTAAAACTACTATATAACTACAATCATAATAATTAAATTCGTTAAGAACGCAATACAATGTTGTGTTCCCGATTTTTTTATATAAAAAATTGAATTGTCGCTGATTCAATCGAACAGTTCGAATCAATTATTTTGAATTTGATTCTGATTATTTTACAAGTATAATAGAATAGAATATTTGTATTTGAATGAATTTGAAATTTGAATATGCCACCTCATACGTGTCACTGCGCGCATGTAAATTTATTTTTTTTTTTGTAATTTTCTCGGAAAAGTGTCTTCAATTTATGGAAGTTATTAACGTACTTGCCAGGCGTGTAAATTCATCGTCAACAAATACCGGTTATGCAATTCGTGTTGCAACTGCGAGTATTTGCCGCGTTAATTTTCCGTATTCTGTTTTTAGTATTTTATTTGTCGTACGATTTCTTATCGACATGTGATTAGCTGCAGGATAAAGGATTTTGGAACGTGAGGGTGCAGACACTGCACGCTCGGTAGCCTGCGCATGTGCTGTGGTATGCGAGCATATCGTATTTGTGTGAATTGTGCCAGCAATGCCAGCTGTGGCCAGCTTTGTTCTATGTGTTTTGTGAATTGTGCCCTGTGGGTCAGTTGTCAGCTATGCGCGGAGTAATTTGTTAAATTACGTCTCTCAAGTCTGTCTTTTGGGAAAACCGCATTTCTTTTCAGTTCTGCAATTCGGCGGGACGATAACGCTCAGTTCTACAATGACGTCCAAATTGAGGAACAGAGATTGCGCGAATAAAATCAGACATGGCTCGCCTAAGCTGCAGGAGGTGCTGCGAGAGGTTGAAAAGTCTATGTTTACCTCGTACTACTTTTAAGCTTTCTGGATGATAGTAATATAAGCGACTCTGGGTAAAGGTGCAATCTACGGTGTTCACCTCAAAAATCGATAAAATTATACTCATTCGACGCGTTTTTGCATGAAACGAAAGAATCTGGCAGGTAAAAGTGTCGCTATGCCCCGCGAACCGAGATATTAAGCGTTAAAGTTCACGATTATTCAGGTTAGAAAATCCGTCATGGTCACGCAACACTGCGATATGAGCATGCGCTGCGGTCACATGCGTTGTACGTACTTTTCGGTAAGAGCGCACGAAATTTAAAATCATAATCCATTAAATTAATAACCATTAATAACCCATGTGGACAGTGGGGTGTATAGACAGTAATGCTTGGGTTCGGGCGGCATAGCGATGTTATTAATGGTTATTAATTTAATGGATTATGACTTTAAATTTCGTGCGCTCTTACCGAAAAGTACGTACAACGCATGCGCATGTGACCACAGAGCATGTTTCAGTCGCTACGTAACGTCGGTATGACAGATTTTCTAACCTCCATAGTCGACAACTTTAACGCTTAATATCTCGGTTCGCGGGGCAGAGCGACACTTTTACCTACCAGATTCTTTCGTTTCATGCAAAAACGCGTCGAATGAGTATAATTTTATCGATTTTTGAGGTGAACACCGTAGATTGCACCTTTATCCGACTCTGCATTCTTTTATAAAAATTCTCGCGCAAATATGCGCATACAATTTTTTTCGTGTCTGTTTTTTTGTTCAACTAAAGTTAAAGTTCAAAGTTTAGTCTGATATCTTCAATTTGAATATCATAGATATTCTGTAGTTTTACCTGTATCTTTTGTTGGAAAATGTCTATTATCATATTTTGGATGCTTTCTATTTAGTGACACAAGTCATTGATACAAGTGTCATGCAATCTTTATTCATTGAATGCTAAAAAGGACAATAATGTTTGTGTCAACTTGTATCACTAATGCCAATTTCCACCAATGTAGATTAACTTTAATCTCGGGTCAACTTACTCTTCGTCTCTTCTTCTAATCTTTAGAACTAGAAAAAGACGAAGAGTAAGTTGAACTGAGATTAAAGTTAATCTACATTGATGGAAACGGACATAAGGGCCACTTTCACCAAGCTCAGTTAACTTAACCAGCCTAGTAACTGTAATAAAATAGAAAGAGATGGAACTATTTCTATCTCTTTCTATTTCATTGCAGTTACTAGGCTGGTTAAGTTAACTGAGCTTGGCGAAAATGGCTCTAAGGTCCAGTTTTACAACTGACGGTTAATTCTTAACCGAGGTTCAACTTATTCATTATCTCTTTTCAATTCTAGAATTGGAAAAAGATGAGAAATAAGTTCAACCTCGGTTAAGAGTTAACCGTCAGTTGTGAAACTGGGCCTAAATGTAAGGCCCATTTATACATAAGGTGCTGTCTTTTTTTGTTTTCGAAAATATTGCCTGATCTGTTTTTAGAAATGTCGCCAGAGAATGCGAGAGAAGCGGGATCATTTATTTAACAAACGTAGATTCGGCTTGGAACTTAACTCAAGACACATGCAGGACACACTGACAGAAATAATACGCCAAGAATTCAAGAATTTAGCAACATTAGATGACAACGACAAAAGTATTATGTTTAAAGAGATTGAGGAGCCACTATCTCAGGAAGAGGCAATTGAATTAGAAAACGAAATTGTTTGCGAACAAGGTATAATCAGCACTAAAATTTCAGTTATATTACTAGAAACTTGTAATTCATAATAATTATTATTAATTTGTTTGTGATATAATACGAATTTGATGAAAAATTATATTATTATACAGAACAATGGATAATCCAAGAATATGAGAAGATTTTGCAGGACGAGGTCGAACACTTTGCAATGTACGTCGACAATGAAAATAGAGAGGTATTCTGTCCCATGTGTCAGAAAGCTATACTAGGAGAGGAGAATAATTGTGTGAATTGTCCAGTCTGTAAACTGAAATTGACAGGTCGTACCATGCAAGAAGTGAGGCATTTAATTAACGAAAGTATTAATATTCACGCATTCAATTGCGTTAAGGTACCACTATTCACAATAATACCTGATAACACTAATCTCAATTTGTATCTGATATGTCATGACTGTTCCACTTTGGCATTGATTTGCTGATTATTCAGTTGGCGAGCTATCAATTTTCTAAAATACAAATGTGTTGAATAATTAACATATTTTTTCGTAAATATTAAATGTTATCAATATCAATGTGTCCAAAGATTATAAAATAACAATTGTAAACAATGTGTATTATAATTTACGTGCAAAACAAAACTTTAATGTTAATTAAAATTTTTGTGACATTAGGTTTTTTAAGAAAGTATTTATAAATTTTTAGTTTGTTATTTCAATTTATAAAATACAATAAAAATTAAATGTCAAATTACATTAAATAACAATATTCATTATGAGGACTTTCCAATAGTTTTGTTACTTTCAATAAAAATTATTTCGGGAAAGCATTTTCCGAATATTCCAAAAATTATATTATATATTTGTATTCAATTTTGTGTGACTAAATTTAATATGAATAATATCATTCAATATAATTATTTATAATATTTAGAAGCAACGATTGCGAGAAGGAAAAAGTAGAAAAAAATGAATTAGTTTGGATTTCATGTTGTTATAACATCTGAATAATAACATGTCAATCTTTTTTTTATGCTTATATGATACATATTGTACAAAAAAACATCCCTTCGATGAGTTCACTTATATTATTTATCACTTAACGCATTGTACATACACGATGTAAGTTGAACGAGGGCATCTATATATTGTATAAAAAAATAACATTCTTCATGCTCTAAAACAAAACAAATTAACAGAATATACATAATGTGAAGTCAATTTAAAAAAGAATTTAGTTTTTATAGAATTAATCATTTTGTTCTCTCTTAACATCGGACTATATACAACATTTTACATTAACAAAAATACTACAATATGCAGAAGCCCTTTGTAGTTTAAGCTATATTCGGTATTTAAACCTTTTGCAAATGATTTGTACATTATCACATAAATTTCCATATTAAAGATCTCATTTTACATAATGGTGTGAACATGTATCTTATGAGCAACCCCCTTTTTATCGTCTCCACGCAATTATAAGCTATATACACCTCTTACTGGCGTACTTGTGCAAGTATAAATTAATAGTAGTATATTTATATCAAAGAATTGATACTTCACATAAAGAAAATTATTTGTATCTTCAAGTCACATTTTCCCAAAACTTATCTTTTCAACAAACACAATTGTTATGGACTCTCAAAATTAAAAAAAGAATAATCAGCGTTAGCTTGTAATGGTATTAACTTTTTGCTTGATGTAAAAAAAGAATTAACAAAAGTTAGACAAACGAGTGTTCCACAACTCTGTTACAGTTTCAACGATTTTGGCTTACTTTAAACTTTTGTAGTAATTTTTTTTATTGGCAACAAAAGATACAAAGTGTGCACCTTGACTAAAATCTTAGTGTTAGATAGTACACTTATTTATCTTGATCATCAAACACAGTAAATAGAAGAGGATTAATGCAATCCAAAAATACTAGTATGCAAGTGTTTTGGGTGCCTACAAAAGATAGAAGTGAAATAAAAGAATATAACAAGCTAACTGCATATTCTAGTATACAAGTTAAGGTTTACCCATTTTAGCAATTTTATAATTTCTTAACGTTTTGTTCTGATTCAATTCATTACGACTGATTCCTGATCTATCTTTGCAAATTTGATTATCTCTTATTCTTGGCTTCAGGCTTTTGTATCTTTTTTAACTGGCATAGAACTTTGATAAAAGTTTGAATTAATGCAGATGAGCGAGAACTCAATATGTAATCGAGAGTGTGGAGGATTTCTGAGATTATATTGCTGAAGTTGGCGAAATATAATGCGGCCGAAACGAAGTTAACACCAAATTAAATATAATTTACATATAAAGAACTAAATGCTTTGGATTTTTTACTAAGTACCACGCCGTACTCTCGTTTGTCTAACTTTTTTTTTTCAACTCTTGAATTATCTTTGCAATTCATTTATGGCACTGAGTCTATCATCTTTAATGCGTTACTTATCTTTCGTAGTATTTCCGCAAAGAAAAATGTCCTAAAGCTAAAAAAGTTTATTCACAGTACATGATCTATTTTAATAACTATATGATAATTCCTAGTCTTACAATGAAGTGATAATATAAATAAAACATTTTTCGAAAAAGATTAATAAAAATATTAGTATAGAAATTCAAACATTTTTTGGTCAAGTTTTTGGATTCTTATAGTCTTATAATAATTACGTTCATTAAGCTATCAATCTGAAGAATATCTCAAAGCAATGGAATGAATGTAATCATATAAATGTTTATTTATTATATATATGCGTAATTATGGAAAAGTTGTATGAATATGTAGTAATTTACTCTTTTTTTACTTTATAAATTATTCCATAAAGATATCATTAGAATGTTCGAGTCTGTGTAGTTTCATATAATGCATACAATTGCGCGAAATAAACGTGAGAAAAAGTACACATGAGACAATTTTGTCAAAAAGTAATTATGTTAATGCGAATGATTGTGCCATGTCAATATTAGTATCAAGTACTGTATCAATATACATACATACTGTCAGTATACGCACTGCAGTATAAGAGTGTAGTATGTACACATATTTTTTATTCAAATCTGTAATATAAAACGTTTTTTATAATTATCTATTATAGACTTTGCAACAATAACGTGACGTTGCAATAAAAAGAGGAATTGCACTTAAATTCTTATTTCTGCGTTTCGGTTAACTAACCGAATGTTATGTCTTCTTTTTGTTTCGCATAGGCTAACTTAAGTTATACGGTAACTATCATCCTTACATTCATATATATATCTAAATCTTAAACTTTTTTTATACAAACACGCTGTTGAATTCACGCACTTGATCACTGCATGGATCGTCGGCGTTCCGTTCGATTGACTGCCGCAAGCGCTTCTTCGGGAAGGCGAGTCGGATCTGATAAAATATCAGTGGCAGTACACAGAGTCTTGAGAGAATTCAGAACAGCTGAAAATAATATTTTGGTCAAGATAATTGTGAATATTTATTGCGTTATGTTATATTTTTAAATGTATATTTTTTATTATATTTTTATGCTTATATTATTGTAAGGACTGACATCTAAAAAAATATATTTAAATATTTATTTAGAAAAATTACAATGTCAAAGAGAGATCTTACAAATAATAATTTCGAGCAATTTTTTTCTATTATTGTTTTAGTTGGTTCCTTGAATCATATCAACTCACTTTGTATAATTAATAAAAAGCAATGAAAATATTTAAGCGTATCTTTTTGGATGTCTCCTTTGTATACGAACCTGGTCTGAGATCGACGAGTGAACAATGTTGATCTACCCACAACAATGTACTTCTATACAAATCTTCGATACTCGCAGTTGAGACTGAAGCATTGAAAGACAGCATCAATGGTTCTAACAATATACTGAACTGATTTTATTACATTAAGGAATCTAATCTTTTAAAATCCTTCATATATTTTACGTGAGTCAATAGTTTAAGATACAATGTGTAAGAAAAAGAAAAAAAGGATACAATCCAGAATTTCCAGTTTTCTTGCGTGCGCACACGTACATATTCGTCAAACATCTCTTTTATCTTGCTGGTTCTATGTCTAGAACCAATTGGAGCACCCGTTGCAGGAAGCATAGATTGACAATTACTACAAGAATAACATCATAAAGCATTCAAGATTATCTTATTTATATAGATAATTGTACATTTAACAATTATTCATGAGCGATAATTGCTAATTAGTCATTTTACATAATTTTACTTATAACGTTTTAATTTATTGGGAATATAACTAGAATGTACCTAATAGACATATTAAGGCACTCAATTTGTTGTCTCAGGCTATCCATCTCATCTTTTAATTGATGTCTTTCTGCCTTAAGTTGTCGGATATAATCCGCCCCTTTATGTAACATTGCGGCTTTACTTAATTTCGTATTGGAATTCTGACTGAGCTGTGGTATTAAACTGTGCAGCATATCAAAGCCATTCTTGATGTTATATCTACGCTTCTGTTCCGCATGAATATGACCGACTCGCCTCTGCTCTTTGTACTGCCCCCTTTCTGACTCACTCTTCATGTATCCACGAGTGGGTGATAAAGGACTACCTATACTCATGGGGCTATGTAGAGGGCTAAGACTTAAAGCCTGAGGACTGTGTGCATTAGAGCTGCTATCCTTTGGTGAACCTATTGGACTATTGTGGGACTGATGCGTTTGATTTTTCGCATTTAAGAGAATCTGTTGGGCTGTGGATGGTTGCATTGTCTGCAAAATATCAATATGAATTATTGATCTCAAACAAATTGGCAATTACGTTATAAACTGATTTTTCTCTAATACCTGTTGCTGTGGTTGAGTCTGCTGTATACTAGAAGTTTTTATTGTTTGTACAGTCACTGGGGTCGTGATATGTTGAGTTGTCGTTACTTGCGTTACTTCTATCGAAGTGAAGATATTAATCAGTTATAGATATCAATGAAGATAAGAATCATTACTTCAAATATTTTTCTTATTAATGTAAGAGAGATTTAATTAAATTTAATTAATATCGTAAAGATGTGTTGCGTAAATCATGGTAGTTATGTTCAATTGATCTCATAAGACTTTTACATTTTTCGTGTATAAGAAAAGATAGAATTGCAATAAAAATACGTACTACTATTCGTAAGTAAGCGTGCAAGCAAAACATTGTTATTCAGATTCAGAGCTGGGTCGCTCACTGCAGATACTAGCGGCGGTGGATGTATTCTAGGCGCCGTTAAAGAAGAGCTACTTCGGGATCTATTCCTTCCTTTCATTTGATACTAAAAAAATATATTGTAATTTTATTGAAAATATTTTAACCGATACTTGAATATTAGCACTATTTAAAAAATTGGGAATTTAACGTTTTCTTTAGACTATTACAGTAAATTGTCGGTCTATTCTGTATATCGACACAAGTGAGATACTGACCTTAGGTACAGCGAAGATCTCTTCTTTCTCCACGTTGGACGTCGTCGGTTGAGGTAACAGCTTGGTATGCAAAGTGGACGTAGTAAGGTCCAAACTAGATGACCTACACTGTAGCAATATCTGTGATTGCGATGGTTGCTCCGATGATACTACTTGCGTATGATGCGTCTGAAAAATAAATACAACACACTGAAAAAATGCATGTGATTTTACAAAGAAATTACATGTCTATGACCGGAAAATTACCTAAATATGATTGGAAATTTATAATTTCCAGTAAATTTCCAATCATATTTATGTAATTTAAGTAATTTTCCAGTCATAAACATATAATTTCCATGTAAAATTACATGCATTTTTTTCAGTGCATGCATTATTTTCATATATTCAATATATTTGAAAACGCTATTATATTTTAGTTACCTTAAGTAAGCTATTAGTATTAAATTTACACTGTTGAGCATTAAGGTTCTGTACGAGGTTCGGAAACTTATAGCACTGCTGCTGCGGCTGAACGATCTTGTAAGGTTTGCTAGACATCGGTGAGAGGGTCGGCAAAGGCCTTATTGCTTGATGCTGGGTCTGCAGTTGCGAATTGACGGCTTGCGTGGCAAAATTATGCTGTACCGTCACCAGATTTTGCACGGCAGCGGCGGTGATTGCAGGTATATGACTGGCATTAACTGCCGATTGATCGTTCAGTGTAGTGATCTGCACAGATTGTGGCTGCACCGGTGTTAATCGCACCGCTTGAATCTCCATCGCGTAAGACTGCGGTGGTTGCGATTGGAAGCCTGAATTCTGCTGCTGTGTAGTCGCTTGATATATGTCCTGTTGCTGCTGTTGTTGGGATTGCTGTATCACGCGACCGTTTCTCGACAACCCTCTGCTACCTCTAGTTTTTTCTCGTATGGGTTGATTTGTCGTAACGGACGCCTCGAAGTTCGGTTGAAGAGCATAATTTTGACTCATAGCTCTAAATGGAAAAGAGTGACATATCCATGATTTATAATGAACCTCGGACTTTACTCTTTATCCGCTTATCCGTGAAGTAATTATTTCGTAATACTCACATGTTATTCCTATACATATTCGCTGTTTCAGGTTGAGGCTGAGTATATATCTTGGCGGTGTATTGGAGATTCTGCATGTTAGCCTCTTGCTCTTCCTGAGACAATTGTTGTACGATATGTTCATTTTTTATTGTCGGAACCTCGCCTATTTCGTTCATTTGATTAATTGGTGTCATCAGGTCCAAATCGGGATAATTAGTATTTATATTATTATTTCGAAATATATCGTCTTCTTCGGGTACGGGAGGCAATTTCGAGTTTAAGAATTCTTAAATAAAAAAATATATATGTAACATGTAAGAAACGTCGTGCAAAACACAATCTCATATACAGGGAATGGAAGTAACTCGTTACTTGTAACGAAGTTACAGTTACAAGTTACTTTTTTGGTAACTTTACTAGTAACTGCGTTACTCTTTTCTTTGGTAACTGTAACGGTAACGAAGTTACATTTTTTTGGTAACGGTAACGAATTTTACAGTTACTTTTATCGTTACTTTGCACATGATTGGACACGATGCGACACAAGCCACTTACACTGTAAAAAAATTTCGTAAATTTACACATATAATAAATGTAAAATAGATTACATGATTAGTTCTGTAATTATAAAAAATCATACAATTTCACAGAAATTATGTAATTCCACAAAAATTATGTAAATTCGTTTTTATTGTGTAAATATATCTTATTTTATATTGGAAATTATGTAAATAGCAGGATATTTTGAATATTTTCTGTAATTATCCAAATTTTAGTAATATTACGTAATATAAAAGAAATTTTTCGCGTATTGTTGTTAAATGTATAATAATATATAGTGCGAAATATATTGTCATATTATCGTTCCTATAGCTACACATACACATTGTAATTGTACTTCCACAATCTGCTTAGTTCCAAACCAAGAAATTATTTTTATTTGCATATTGCAAATATACAAACGTGTGGACGTTTACAACTATTATAGTGGATCTCAAAATTATCCAGCATAATAGTTATAATTTTACACAATTTTTTACAATGCGCTTGAGACTAGAGAAGCCTCTAGGCCAGTCCGCTGTGATTGTTGGTCGTCGATTTAAAAAAAAGTAACGGAAAAGAAACGAAAAGTTACTTTCTCAAGTAACGGTAACTGTAACGAGTTACTTTTAAAAATCGGTAACTAGTAACGGTAACTTGTTACTTTTCCTACTCGGTAACGAGTAACTGTAACTTGTTACTTTTAAAAAGTAACTTTCCATTCCCTGCTCATATATAATCATTTAATGTTATTATCGTATACCTTGCAATGGCTCTAACGTATCCATAAAATCGTCCAGGTTCGGTTGCAACGGGCCTAGACTAGGTTGAATGAAATCCGCTAAATTAGCACCTCGCGCTGTTGAATCATATTTCGTGTATTATAATATTTGTAATATTTCTATAAATAGTACAGTTTTGTTTTTACGATTGTCGAATACTGTAAGTTTCTCAAAAAGAATACAATCATCAAGAATACATCAAGAATACAAGCGAATGCGCTTTGCGCATAAGCGGATATCTCGCGGATATAACGTCTCAAAAAGAATTACCGATTTCTCTAGGATCAGGAAAGTATATCGGTTGATTCGAGCTGATGGTTGAAAAAAGGGTGTCGGTCATCAATTCCATATAGTCTTCATCAACCATCATACTCTCTCCACCTGAAGTACCGCCTGTATTTCCAAATGCATTTCCCGTAGCCACTCCAAAGTCACCGGTGAGGCCACATTCACTGCCCCAATCCAGCAAGTCCATCGATTCCATCTGAAAAAAACATCTTATCATATTTGTGTTTCATATTTGATGAAAATAAGGGAAATCTATCTATTCAAGCGCATACACACACACGCACACGCAAACACACACACAAACACAGTAATAAATAAACAATGGCTGCGTCTAGCAGAGAAAGCGGCTTGATTTTGCTCTTGGTTCCTTATGGATTTAAATACATAAACCAATCATAATGAAGAATTTTACAATAGTTGCAAAGCTACTTTTTTTGCAGAACGCAGCTATTGATATATCTAAATTTATTAATTATCTGTCATTCACTGTTTGTATTATTTTGTATTTTTCAAGGTGACGGAAATATTTTTCAAGCATCTTAAGACTGTATATCCTTTTGTAAATATATACGTACCATCTCTATGCCATCTTTGTTCGTCCAGCCAAGGATTTTGTTTCGATAGAACATACGCCATTTTTTGTATTCCGCTGTGACGGCCGCGAGCTTTCGTTTCCAGTATTTTCCCTCTAAGACCACCGCCTGATAAGAGATATGCCAATGATTCACGTTCACTAAGCGCAATTCTTATTAGGAAACGTAAAAACATTTTGCGACTTTATAAGCTTACTCGGATTTTCTTATTACTTTGAATATGCGTTACGTGCATGCAATTTGCTAGCGATACTTCGAGGAATTACAAACTCCTACGAATTATCTAATCAAACGAGCTGTCGCCAATTGCGATAAATAAAGATACTTCCCAATTGCGTAATTGGGCAAAACCGAATAGTACATATAACGAATCATTGCTATTTAATCATCATTAATATCGACGTCCGATCTCTGATTTGTTGATATCAAGATCGAATGGTTATTAAAGGAAATTATAACAATTGATTCACTAATCTGTTGTGATTATTTTAAGTGCGGAGCTTTTATTAAATGTATGCTTCATATGTGTAGGTCAATAATCAATATATTATCATCGAAAATTTAAGTTAAATGTGGAGATCATACCTCGGGTTTGTTGTGAGTATCCACGTCAAGTGGCGATGCAAACTGACACACCAGCGTGTTTTGCTTCAATATAACTAAAAAAGAAAAATTATTGTCTATTAAAAATAAATTTTAATTAATATTTATTTCAGTCTATTAAAATTTTTTGAGAAAACTGCCACAAAAATTGTAAATATTAAAAAAAAATACAACTTCAAATTCTTCAAAAGATAGGTTATTAAGATAATTACAGGTATGACCTCAAATATAATTCGAAGGTCCACATTTCCGCAAATTTGGTCATTAGGTGATAAACTGAGTGCATTTATTTCAATAACGCACTTAACTTTACGTTTACTTTACGATTATCAACATGTTGTACGATAAGTTGCAAAAGTTTAAAAAAAGTATCGATTAAAAAAACCGTATAGCCGATTTAATCAAAATTTAAACGATTACGAGAAGCGCACCAAAATACAATTCGATTTTACTTTCTTATTTCTAAACAAATTTTCTATTTGAACTATTTATAGAATATTTGAACTATTTATATATATATATTATTGATATATATGGTTTTAATAATTGTAGTAATTGTGTAATGACAAAAAACGAATAATACGTGTCATTATTTTTTTCTCAATGTTATGAATTATTTTCTTATTTCGATATCTCATTTCGGCTTGGTATTTCGTGTTCGAACAAATTGAGCTAACGGAACAAAATTATGTATACACATATATGTAAAATACAAGCCTCCTTGGTTCGTAATGATCAGTTGGACTTTCGCCAGGTGAGTACTATTGATACGAATGTAGCACGCAGAGACGAAGCTCTTTAAATAGACGAGTAATTACTTATCCGGCCGTTCGATGAATAGCAAGACAGCCGGTAGCTGTCTGAACTTGATAAGCAGCACTCTGCGTATATCACGACAATCGAAGTATCAATGAAACAAAGTGGGTTGAAATTGAAGTATTTTCAAAAAGAAAACACAAGAAATGGTCAGTCTGAAATTCGTATAAAATTCGCTTTAAATATACAAAATTTACTGAAGTATGTTTATAATTTTTAACATCAATTTTACATACTGCATTTAAAATGGATTTTTCGAATTATATTGATTATATAAATTTTTCATTCTTGCATTGGACATTTCAATGGAAAAGTACAATATTTAAACACAGAAACACTTTTGGAAACTAATATGATCATTTTATTTAGTATATTGAGTGTTTTGATCGATAAACGCGAAGACAGATTAAGATCGAGTTTGCGAACTCGTGACGATGCGTTGGGAGATAACAAAGCAAATCTGAAGCTTATCAATTGTATTATTCCGCATTTTCTCAGTAAAACAAAGATAGATTTACGTAATAATAAATTAAATTTAAATAAAAAAATGTCCCAGAGAATTCCTCTTTTTATTTTTAAAATGCATCGGTTGACAGAAGATGCTAAGTGTTTTTTTTTCTCGCTTACATTGCATGTGCCAGCATCTCCAGATTACATTGTTCAGTCTGATCTTGTCCTTCCATCTTAATCTGATGCCTTTGAAGCGATTCCACTTAGGCGATGTCAGCTTCTGTCTGGAACAAATCCAAATGCCCATACGTCATACCCACTGTGGTAATCAAACTCGAATTCTATATAATCAACATAGATAATTCTATATAATCAGTATGTTATCAATATATATCGTGTGACGCTTATTACTATTCATATTAATTCTTTTACGATAATATAAAATGTAATAAACAAATCACCCAAAGATCGATTTCACGAGATTATTTTCTATATAAAGTGTTATTAAAATACTTGGATAAACTTCACTTCAGGTAATTTTTTATTTAGAGTTCAGGATTATTTTCAGGATTAAATTCCATTTTTTTTTACATTAAAAAAATTTTCCACATCAAATAGCGTGATGTAACTAATTCATTTGTAAACTGAAATTCTGTCAAAATAAACATCACTCAAAATTGAACGCAGAATAAGATTTTCTTGGAATTTTGATATTTTTACTAGAAAAGATAAAAGTGCAAAATGAAATAAAGAATATGCCTAAAGAATTTATATAAATACAAATATCCTGTGTACAGTTCATAAACGTTCTAATAGTTTATAATATAATAACGTTTATTTTGTTTTTAAAGATGTGTTTACAAAAATGCTTACTTTATTTTGAATTCAATAACATCTATTTTGCATGAGATATGCATAATCTACTCATGTATAAAAAAAATATTTTCTATTGTTTTTAACAAAAAAAGAAAAAATGCGAGTGACTGAACTAACAATAATATTAGTATATCAATATCCTGTACTGGTAATGCCCCTCCGAATATAATTCATTCAACGAAACACATGTTAATTTAGACTGCTGCCTCTTCAAAACATTTCAATCAGACAGATACATCGTAGTGACTTTAAAATGCAACCAATAATTTTTCGTTAGTAGGCGAGTGTTTGTGATTTCGACAAGCTTATCTCTCTCTATCGCAAACTCTCTATCGCAGGGAACACCGTATGCTTTGTGCGAGTTTTCCAAGGCGCAGTTAGAACGATTATGTGAATTTCCACACGAGAGTTCAAGAAACGACATGAGCTTGCAAACATACATATTTCTTTCTGGCATTTGTGACTTAACATAAATTAAAAACACACTTAAACATTCTCTTTAGTGCTAATGAAATATTGTTTGACCACATTTTTATCGTAATGTTATTGCTGTTATTGCTATCGTTAATTTTTTTTCTAAACTTTACAGAAATTTGGCCAGCTTATCACTAAAAAAATAATAATTAATTACTTGGAATATTAAAAGCATTAAACAATAATATTTTTAATACTTAAAATAAATTTTTAATACTTAAAATTAATTACTGTTTTTCAGTAATGGTCAATATCAAATTTCTGTAAGGGAACACAATCCAGTTTAGTTTCTTTGTGAAATTATTCTGTAAGTTTGATCGCTTACGTTCGAAAATTTTAATTAATGTACAGTATATCAGAAATAAATGTATAATACGAAATCAATTACTGTATTGTTATAATATGAAATAATTATAAGTGTGTTCAAACGTCTTTTCTATCGATAAGACAAATTCTTACGATAGGAATACTTCAAATATAAAAATAAATTCATCATTGAACTTTATAGGGATTTTATAGGAAGAAGTTACATATCTATTTTTTTAATATCTGAAAATTGCAATCGCAAAATTTTGTGGCGAGCTTTCGTTATCATTTTATTCGTCGATATATCGCAGACGAAGTGTCAACAAAATATCTATAGTCGGAAGATTTCCACTTGCTCATATCTTTGCGATGAACACATAGCGAGGGTTCTTCTCCTTGGCATTAGACCCTGGCCGGCCAAGTTCTTTCCGAGTTATTGCCATTTCTATTTTTATAATTTTTTAAGAGATTAGATAAGACAGAGCTCGAAAAATGTAGCAGAGAAAAGAAATAATTATAAAGAATCTAATGTCGTTTGTACCCGAAATTCTTAGGAAATAATTCTAAACAGAAGATTGATAAAAAAAAATAATTACAAGAAATTATTGTCAAAGTATGTGCCGGATTAATTAATCACGTGGAATTAATTAAAGTAAAAAAAGTGCACTTACTACAAAGAACATCTTGAGTGTATTCGGGAAGACACTATTAGAGCTATTTGTGTCATTCTTTATTCTTTATTGTTCATTGAACGTTAAACAAGATAGATAAAATGACACAAATGTGCTAGTAGCATCTTCTTGTATGTACCTTTGTAAATATATATGGTTTTTTATTTGTACAGTAACAATTTTAGTAAGGTAAAAATTTGTTTTTATTATTTGCAAAAAAGCAAATATTAGAGAAAGTTATTTACAAGCAATAAAATATGTAATGACTCCGCGCAAGTAGATACGCAAGTAGATACTGTATGAGTGATTCATTAACGTCTTCACACATTACTATACGTGTAACAAAATTAGTCCAGAGCTAAACAATATCAATGTACTTGTACTAGTGATAAACATATATAATTAATATATTATAAAAGTATTTTTAAATTTTTTGCTCATCTTATCATTAATTATTCTTTACATATGGATTATTGCGATGGTTACATTACTGATAACAAAGTTGCAATATTGCATTATATCAATCTCAAAAATAAACAAAGATTAAGGCGGGAGCTTTTTTGTAGATATTAATTTGAAAATTCCGGGACTTCTTTAAACAGAAAGAAAAAAAGGAAAAAAGGAAAGACAGATTATCAGAATTAATACTTTAATGAGGCAGATCAAAACATACATCGTTTGAATAAATAAATATTTTTATTATTTACTAATGATTACTATTTAATCAATCTGATAAACATACATGTTGTAGAAATTCCATTAATAATAAATTCCTATTTTTTAAAGTATTATGTTCTTCTGTTACATTTTTACGATTAAGCATTACAATTTTGTAAATTGTTTAATTGTATTAATAAAAATTTGTTTATGCTCTAATTAGCTCTGTTTGCTTGAAAATGTGCGTGTCACCGTCTTTATTTGCGAATTCCGTCATTTTCGCAACATTAATAATACATATGTAGCGCTACAGAATCTCATTATCAGATAATGAGTTATTTGCTCATTGCATGATACGCTGTTCGGTTAAGATCAACCATCGCCTAGCAGAATTGCGATTATTATCGTATTGTCGAGAAACTCAATGGTGTGTGACAAAACAGATATCGCGTTGCGTTTGTAGAAAGATTTCTGAAAAAATACCGACGATAAATTATAAAGTGCTACGCACGGTCTGAACAAAAGAAGTACCAAGTCACTCGCTTCGATAAGCGCGAATCCCTCGATACCGTTTTTATTTTCAGCATTTCGCGGCTTTAATTATCTGAATTATAAGAAGAGAGCAAAGATCGTGCCGTGGAAACTAAATTCGTCTGCCTTTAATCCCTCGTTAAACAGTCCATCTCGAAAACAATGATTTTTTTTTGGAGAAATTAATTTCATTGTAAATTTTACGATTTTATAATTATAATTATAAAGTTCCTGGATTTAAATTCATTCAATAATAATAATTCTTCGAGGAAAAATTATATGAAGGAATTTTATAAAGGAAAGAAGATTCTGAGGATTTATAGATTCGAGAATAATCTCTTAAAACTCTTTCGGGATTAGTGTCAAGATAAAAAATGTCCTCGCTCTACAATTGCGTAAGCGTAGTTGTAAGTGATAGTAGTTAGTAAGAATTGATCAATCACAGTCAAATATGAAGAGAACATTTGATTGTGCAGGTTGATAAATTCTTACGACTACAACCTTTTATACGCTTACGCAATAGATGGTAGAATGGACTAAAGAATGATATATATTTGGATAGATTATCGCGCAACGGCCTCTTCAAATAATAGCAATTGAATAATAAATATCTTCTTTCATGTAATATATTGATCATTGTAAAAATATACCGTGAGTATACGTCAAACAGTCAGAGAAATGGAAATAGCGCAACCACCGGTTGGATAGGTGGGCGAGCCTCTACGGAGCGCTTCCAATTCGTGAATTTTCAATCTTGCACGTCTTGCTTGTTGCTTGATCGTCGTGCGGAAGTTACATTGCTGGCGCGTACACACGGTACGCACTACGAACGTGTGCTTATGATGACGCAGTGGCCTTGGTCGATATAAGACACACGGAGGAGAGGAGGCTTTTACGGTAATCTAGGCACGATTCGTATTTTCGCGATTCAAGATCGAGATCAAGTTCGGTCTTTTTAAAAGACCTTATATCGTAACGTTGACTGGAAGTTTGCTCAACGTTGGCTGAAAGGCAAGGGTCGATATTCATAGTTCGTTCTTATGTCACGAACCAATCAGCTGTATTAGCATCTTAAGTTAAGACATTGCTTAAGACAGTCTTAAAATAAGAATGGACTATGAATATACCGACAAAAATTTTTAAGATGTTAATACGGCTCTCTTATTAGTTCACAATATTTTAAGACTGTACTTAAGACAGTCTTAAATATAAAAATCGAAGATAAAAACCGGCCAAAGTCTCGTTATCCACTCACATTACTTCATCTTGATCTCAAAAAGTCTAATCTTGGAAATTGTCTGACCTAGAAACCGTTGATACATTGATTTTCAAGCAACTGTCATCATTTTAAATATATATGCGCTGCGCTAATTATGCAGAGATGTAGCGGACGTGAGATACGCTGACGTAAGGCATAAAATGATAGTGTGCAAAGAAAGCAACTTTCTCATTATATACGCAGACAGTACTTGTGTAAGGAAACATCTATGGTTGTTGCGATATAGAATGAAAATTAGTAATTAGTAATTAGACTGTAAAACTTATATTTTCTACACTAAAAAAGATTTTTTTAAATCTAAAAAAATGTTGTAATGTAAAATAAATTGTATTGCCTTAGAAATTACTCAAAATATCCGAAATTACTATTAATTACTCCATACTATTTTTTCTTTTATGAGTTTTTATTAAAATATGGAGAAATGTCTTATACTTAAGTCCTTAAACAAACATCAAATATATAAAATGAGGCTCGAAAGAATCTATCAGTC